TCGGCTCGTCCGTCACGAGCGACGATCCCTCGGCAGGGATTAGCGGCCCTCATTTCATTCCGTGGTGCGCCCGTAATTGATTTTAGTTAAACGCCGCATTGTGTGGGCAAATACCACCCTCTTGAAACGTATGACTTACGCCGAGCGTTTTTGCATCAATATGCGAACACTACAGTGATTAAAAGACTAAGCTTGGAGCTTACTTGCGTGTGACATTTTGTTTAAACGTGTTAATCATGAAAATGTCATTTACAATGGGAATCATATATGTTTGTGATGTGTAGGACACACGCGTACACGATATCTTGGTCTTAATTTAAATCGGCGCTTTCTGCAATTCATTACAAATATCAAGCAATCACCAGGCACAAAAGCCATGAAACAACATAATTCGATTTAATCTGAATTCGTTATTTTATATTCACACCTCGATGGCAATCCACTGCTGGACAAAGGCCTACCCCACAACCCGTGTAGGTCAAGGGTGTTGCATGACCATACTTCACCGCACTTGTCAGTGCGAGTTGCGGTCAAGACCGGTTGAAACATCGCCGATGTTAGCCATGGCCAGGAATCGAACTGAGCTCGTATCAGAATTGCGTGAGCCACTCGTCCACCGCACCGCTCGGGTTGTATTCGGAGGAAGCAACCGTGACGGTTCGTGAGGTAAGGGAGCCTGGGAGTCTGTGCGAAGGGACGGGAGGATCTGTAATCACTCGACGAGAGACGCCTGCGTAGCGTTCAGTCTCGGGTCTTGCTGCCGTCGGTGACCATTTGTAAGAGAAACGTCGCGTCAGCCAATCGCAAATTGGTCCCTTGCGAGTGTCGCGGATGGACGCAAACCGTGCACTCGTGCAAAGCGTGAGCTTTCCAGCGACCGTGATGATCGAGCGAGAGGCGAAAGAGCGAGTCAAAGTCTCACGGAATGGTAGCACGTTCAGATTGCTTTTGTTAAGTCGGCAATTGGAAGGGGGGAAAAAAACTAAAAGCAAAGCTACGGATAAACAATGAAACAAAATTGCATATAGTTTTCTCTTTTTTTCTTCTACTTATTCTCAATTTTGAAGATATTACAACAGAGGTACTTCTGTGGCCGTGTTACGTGAACCTGCACAATTACAGCAAATGATTGAACCGCTGAAAAGCAAAACTGGTTCTGTGTCCTTGGCGGGATAAGTAGAAATATTTTCTGAAGAATAGATTTGTATCGTGGTCGCCGCTCGGTCCTTGATGACAAGTAGCGTATGGAATCGGGGCCTCTGCGTTGTAGTATTTTTTGTGTTATCAGAGCAATCTCTCCAAGTGTGATCACTTATAGGTGACTGCAACGACTGCACTTCCCCACCCGCCCCTTCTGCAGAGTAATGTTGATCGCATGACACTCGAGCCGATAGTTTTAATTTTAAAAGTTGGAATTTAGCCAAATTGTGCAAGATTTTTTTACGTTCTTTCATTACTGGACTGAGGTCATCAACTGACTACATTTGAGAACTCGGCATGGCAAGATTGTGAGAGGTGGCGTTGGCTTGGTAAAGTCTTCAACCGGCAGTGGATAAATCATGGCCGATGATAATGAAACTGTGCAAACGAAGCTCAGAATACACCGATAATGGTTTTGTGTTTTCGGAGGCCTGTTCTGTTTATTCTGCGGAGACATTGGTCACCACTTGAGATCTACAGAAGCATTCATTCCTCGATGTATAATGATTATTAATATCAAGATACACGCATCAAATACGTTGAGTGTAAGAATCAGTTATTTTATACAGTATTTGTCTCTCTCTCTATGTTCCATGTCATTTCTCAAATACTTTGGCAATCATGGCCTTCCATTTAGTTGTGTCCATACTATTCCTCAACAACTTTGCATTAGATAATTTCAGTTTGTCAAATGTTTATGTACTTTATTCGCTGTCTTTTCTGGCTTCTTGTACCTGGAATTTTCCCAGTCAAAACGTATTCAGTTTCTTGTTTTCTCATTTCATGTTCAACTAATACAACTTGCCTGTCTCTTATTATTCAAATCAATTTAATTTTTGTACTTGCTCTCCATAAATATTTATATATATTGTATAGCCTCAATGTGACATCTGCAACCTTGAGAGGCATCTACATTCACCACATGGTAACACAAATAATGTGGTTGTTGAATTGGGTCACAACCCTGTGATGAACCATTACAACCCCAGTCCCTGTCGTAGGAATGTGGAATGTCACCACAACTTACTTAGGACCGCGTATTATCAAATCTCCCAGAATGTGCTCGATCTCGTCGGATCTCGGAATACGAAGTCGGGCCAAAGGCTGGTTGGTTATTCCTTGTTTGGATGGGCGACCAACTTGCAGAGCGGGCTGTCGTTCCAGCATTCACCCGTTATTCTTGAACTTGCTATCCGCGATTTTGGCTTTCCGCGAATCGCATCTGGAACTCTACACGGCTGCATCGAGAGAGAGGGTAAAAACACGTGATGAGAGAATGTGATGAGATTATGATGATGCTGATGATGATGATAATAAAGTGATGATGCCACACATAATCACTTTATCTGCTACGCATGCTTACTTTATCTTATCATAATTTTAATGTAAGTGCATTTGTAAACTATTATTATTTAATATTTTTATACTTTTTATTTACTTTGTTTATGATAATCATTTTTTTGTGTTGTGACAATGTCCATGTATTTAACAGATTACTTATGAATTTATTTAAGAAACGTATCCCTCGTGAACGCCGCGGGGAATCCTTTATCGGCTGTGCACCGTTGTGAGCAGCAGAGGGCAGTGGCACGGCAAAATCCACTGTTGTACTACACTTCGATGCTTCCACGTCCTGTGACCCCTCCCTCCTCCCCCCGCATGGCACGGGGGGGGGGGGGGGCGCTCTAGCCGCGGTGGATTGACGAAACGGCTGGAGATGTTCGGAGGACCGGATTGACGCAGGCGACTTCAGGTGCTCCAGCCCAGGGATTCCGAATGGCAGGCCACCCCCACAGATGAAGTCCTTTACAATGGCTCAGGCGTAACACTGCAACGCTGATACGTCGAGTAATTCGGTAATTAAAGCCGTCGCATCACTACGTGTATTAGTGCCGCTTGTGTGACGGAATGAAGATTGGTTTGGTTAATTTCGGGTCGGCATAAACGTTTACGATTCGTATGTCACATTTAAAAACTGCAAACTAAAATAACCGAGGTGAATAGCGATGGAGTGTTTGGCATCGGGCACCGGAGGCCCCCTAAAATGTGGTACAACCCTGCATGTGATTCAGAGGTCGCAACCGGGTACCCGATACCCGTACCCTACCCGATACCTGGCTACCCGTACCCGGCCGGGTACGGGTACCCGTTTGCGACCCTGGTGCGGCCGGGTACGGGTGAGGAATCAAAACCCGTTTGCGACCTCTGCTGTGATTTCACCCTCACTCATCAGGTGGTTATAGTTTAAGCCTCGACAGTCTGCGATGTTCTCCATCCAGATATTCCTTTGCGCACCCCCTGTATGCATAGCTGCTTGCTTTGCGCATCACACATGCATCCACTCGTGTATGTAGGTAGCATCGTTGTTTGTGGAGGTGTAGAAGATCTATGCCGTACAGATGTTTCTGGGCCATTTCTTGGCCATTTATGGGCCTACAATGCCGGGTTCCCATTGACATTTTGCCGACTGATTTTGAAAGCAAGTTTCTTTTTATATATATATTTAAGAGAAAAAAACAACAACCTTCTTTTAACAAAAATTCACTTGACATTTCAGTGAGGGAGTTGGCGTGTGTGGAGTAGCTTGAAAGGTGGATGGGCTTCACTACTCCCGCTGGGCTCTCCCCCCCCTGTCTCTCTCCTCTCCCGCTCGCTTTACTCTCGCCACGGTCAAATCCCGGGAGACCACCTCTCCCTCGCCACTGTGCCATCAGTGATGTCGGCTGAATGTCTGCCAGGCTGTGAGTGAATTCTGACGGGGCCTTGATTGACGGTGATCCCACAGAAACGGGACCCACCGGCGTGGTGCCACGTTAGACCTCGCCATAAGATCGTCGCACGGAAACTCGACTCAGATGTGACATTGAAGATGGGATTTTTTTGCGTGTGTGTGCGTGTGTGCTTATTGCTACCGGTATTGTGCGTGGCTAGGAAATTGTCCTCTTCGTATTTATGTACGCACATAGATGTGCGTACATAAATGTTACAGACTGTTGGGGAAAGCGCTGCGAGTGAGCATCCGTTAGGACAAATCGAGACGACGCGGAGGTGTTGAAGCCAACACCGTACCCTCCTGCCTTTGTCTCACCATTGCTGATGTTTATACAATGCTACCAGCTGCTCATTTAGGGCTGATTCAACCTAAGGAAGGCCCAGGACCGGTTCAGATATCACTGACCACTGGTATTAGCCATGGCGATGACTCAAACTCAGGTCACACCAAGCCACGCTTCACCCCCATTCTGTATAATATATATCTATGTGTGTGTATGTAATATTCAGTAGTTGGAAGGACCCCATCTGGAGATCCTGCTGGGGGCCCCCGAAATCCCTGTGAGTGTCCCTGGTGTGAGGGTCGCTGGGGGGGTGGCGGTGGTCGGGTTGGCATTGGGCGAGCAGAACCACGCAGGGAGCGCACAGAGAGCTGTCCATCACAAGCCTGCCGACTCGATGGGAGTGTAATTTGTACAATGGGGCCGTAATGAGGGGGCGATGCGGGCGCGGGGGTGGTGATGGTTTTGGGGCGGGCGTGGTGTGTGTGGGGGGGGGGATGCGGGCAGACGAGGGAGGGGATGGGGGGGGGCTGTCAGGGTGCTGACAGCCCAGCATGAGCTCCTCTCTAAATGGCAGCCCCTCATTACAACAAAAAAGGAGCAAAGTTGCCATAGTGATCATCCTGACAAAAAGTGTTGCTTGATAAAAAAAATTCTGCTGGTGGTCTTTGAAAAAAAAACATTTTTTTGGGGGGGGGGGGGGGGGGGACGGAGTTGCGCATACGCCAATGGGCATAGCGGCGTCTGGCTCTCGGGGCGGCGCGAAAGTCGAATACACAAAACGTTTGACAAAGTTCCAACCTTTGTTGGGCGACCAGGGGCGCGAACGGGGATGGATGTGGAGGCTCCGTGCGAGAGGTGCGGACCGGTTGGGCAGGAGTGGGGTTGAAGGGATGTGTGTGGGGGGGGGGTGTTGGAAGCCAGATGGAGTAGATCTCTACATCGACGTTTGATGCGCAAAATGCTGGCCCTGTTGTTGAACGGGTGGGGGAATGCGGTCCGCGGAGAATGACCGACGCGATGCTTGCGGAGCTGGCTGACGGAGCGGACGGCCTCGTTTGCTTTCATTGCCTGTTTGTTGATGTAGTCACGAAACGCGCTTCGCCACGTGTCCCTCGGCAATGGCAGCTCTGGAAAATGCACAGTAATGTTATTTTAGCCGCAACTCAGTGGGGCCAAATGTCACCCGGGTGATAGTGCTCGTATTAATGTTTGCGTTAGTTGAAAGGCAAATGTAAAGGTCAGCCCGAAACACGATGAGCGTCTTGTCGCAGCAGGCCAACTCGTTCGGTGATGGTCGAGGGAGTTGGAAGTTGCTGAGGGAGGGGGGGGCGGGGGCGCCACGGTGGCGAGATGTTAACTACCTCGCCTGGTATACAGGAGGTTGTGGGTTCGATCCCGGCCCTGACGCTTGTGGATTTGGAGTTTGCATGTTTCTCCCTGTGGTCGTGTGGATTTTTCTTTGGGTCCTCTGGTTTTTCCCCTCCAAATTTAGAAACACGCGTTTAGAGAAGGAAAAAGACCAACGTTGATCCACGTGGAGTTTTTATCTGACGATGAGATGTTGATTGTGCTCCGGGTTTTCCCTTCACATTTATAGTATTTGGCTGACGACTATACATTCCCACGTGATGATAAGCCACTTCGTTGAGCTGTCATTTGTGGCCAGGTCGCTTCTGAAAAAAAGAGCCGTGTGGCTCAGTGGTTAACTTTAGGGTTGCCTACACTTTACCCCACCACAAGTAGACTCACATTTCACGATTAAGAGGCAGTGGAGCAGAACATGTATTGCTTAGGTTTCCGACCGCATTGATCAGGAATCTGAGCTCTGAATTAAAGTTTCAGTGCCGCATGGGTGGGTTTTATTTGTGTTAAAATTGGTGGATATTTTCCGTGGTTGGAATTGTTGGTTTTTCGTGATTGTGACGAGAGATTAGATATACTGTGTACACGTCAAATCATCACGTACAGCACTTTGTCAATCCTCAACTGGCTGAAGGCTAGTAGTAGGTTTTTACCCTTTTAAACTGGTACAAAACTGACACCTTTATTCAAGGCATCATGTTTGCAATAACCACAACACAAGTAGTCAAAAAAGCAAACAAAAAGAAGCAACTCTGATAATGATAATAATATGCACTGTCCTTGAAGTTGTTTAGTCTACAGAGTTGCTTTTTTTTTTGCTTTTTTGACTACTTGTGTTGTGGTTATTGCAAACATGATGCATTGAATAAAGGTGTCAGTTTTGTACCAGTTTAAAAGGGTTAAAACCTACTACTATATTTTGCCACTGGTAAAAGAGATCTCATAGTGTGGCTGAAGACTGTGTTGGTCATGGGGGGTTGTTGTACCATACATCACCACGCTGGTCAATGCTGGTTGGTAAAGGTGGTGGGAGGGGGGGGCAGGTATGGCTCAGACATCACTCACCGCTTAGGTTAGCCGTGGCCACAAATCAAACCCATGTCACAAGGTTCGTGTAGCGGAGAGCGTGAACCACTGCAACACCGCTCGCGCCTCTCTGATTTTACAAAATACACCGACATGTTTGATTCCGTTGGACGTTTTAAAGCATCACGGGTTGACGTGCACAAGACACTTCGTGACAAACAACGCTCAACCGTCCACCTTTACAAAACCGCGAAACGTCTCCCTCACGTGTGTTTGTTGGGCATAAAACACGAAGCATATACACTCAACTATTACGCAACCGTGTTAAATGTAGAACTTTAAACGAATACCTTTCAGCGCTCAACAAGACGCAATCGAAACCAAGCCGCACACTTTGCAACAATTCATTTTTGAAGTCACTAAAATTACGCAAGCTGAACCGATACTCGAATAAAATAAATATACTTTTAAGGAGCTGCTCGTTGGTGAAAAGAGCACGGAATGTAATTAGGGAATGCGTGGGGGTCGTGAAGGGGGAGGGGGAGAACAAGCTGTTTGATTGCTGTTCTGAAGACCCCGCGAGAGGCCGCAAGGGAAGAGGACAACCCGTATAAATTTACACGCAAATTAAAGCCCCACACCACCACCACCACCAGACCACACCACACACACACACGCGCGGCCTCACCCCCTTCCCCGGCCATCCACGCACATCGAAGGTGCCTGGGAATTGTAGCACTGTCATAAAACAGGCGCATGAGAGCTGCATTGTATTTGCCAAATGAGCGGAGATCAAGGGGGCCGTTACGTTATGGCTTTTCCCGTTTAATTGCCGCGCGCTCGCACGAGCCCCCGCCTCCCGCCCTGGCCACCGCACGCGGGGGTCATGTAATATGTGCGCGCCCATTGACAGAGTGCAAAACCACATCGACCCATGACTATTTTATTGTGCTGTGCTCAGCTGCCCTTCTCAAAGGTGGATGGCGGTGGGGGGAGGCGAGGGGGAGCAGGGGGGGAGGGGTCAGGGCGTTTGGGGGCAGCGGTGGTGGTGGTGGCGGGGAGTAGGGGGGGGGGGTGCAGGAGGAGAGTGGGGATGGAGGCGCGGGGGTTAATGTTTCGGGTTAGAGGGGACAGCCGATGAGTTGTGTCAACAGCAAAGGATGCCTCGTTGTGTCTCAAGGAAGGACACGTATGGGTTAATATGCGGGGTTACGGGCGCGTGACTAAAACGATGAATACGCTCATTAGTTAACTTAAAACCGAGCGTTGCTCTTCAGAAATAATTGCGTCTTGAGTTTCACTCCTACTTCGCCGCTCGCACGCTTATTGACCACCTCCTGTTGGTGTGCCTCCTTTTGAACTGTTAACGCATTAAACACGACGTTAACGCTCCTCCATGTGCTCGCTCGAGTCTTGGTGAGATGCTCACACGTATTTGCGGTGCGACAAAAGATGTACACTGCTAGAATGTGCACCCAGAAAGCGACCTCCCGTTGCCATGTTAAAAAGCAAAAACATTTTGCTGGAATTTTTCAACCGACTTGTGGTTGAAGGCCTCCTGCATGCCTGGTGGACGATACGTCTGTTTGACCATCCGTCAACACGCTGGTCAGTGCGGGTTTGATGAAGGGGGGGAAGGGGGAGTGGGAATTTCCAGGACCCGTTCAGGTCTCGCTGTTGCCAGAAGAAGCGCGCGTGATGGTTCGTGAATGAAACAATTCACTGGAGCAGAAGAGCGAAGCGTGGGGCAGAGGCGACGCGCCAGTAAACTTGTTGCGTCACGCTCCGTTGAGAGTCAGCCACTTCTCGGGCAGGGGTGATTATTGGGATGATTATTGGGATGATTATTGGGATGATTATTGGGATGATTATTGGGATGATTATTGGGATGATTATTGGGATGATTATTGGGATGATTATTGGGATGATTATTGGGATGATTATTGGGATGATTATTGGGATGATTATTGGGGCCAGTGATGACTTTCTGTTGTGGGAGGGGCGGAGGAGGAGGAGGACAGAGTTGGGGAGGAACTTTTTTTTTACCACTTTTTTTTTACCACTTTTTTTTTACCACCCAAAACTTCCCAACGAAGGGTCACACGACCCTTCACGACTCCACGGCACGGCACGGCATTGGGACGGCTTCATCCAGCGGTGGATGGAGCACGATGGCAGTGATGAGCAGAGGGGGGGGGGGGGGCGAGTCCGTCGCCTTGCAGAGGGACGGATCGACGGTGCCGCATCGGTCACGCAGCTGGCGTGCCGAGGACGGCACACCGGGTCGGACGTGCCGAGCCATTACCCCACGTTTCCACTGATGGAAATTTCCACTGCTAAGCGCACAATAGTCAGCATTGACATTTACCACCGATAATGTGTTTATGTTGTGTGCTTCATTTCGTTGCTTATGTTAACTTCGTGAAAACAGGTGTCGCGAACCCTTGAAAATTGATTTTTATTTTTCCGTTTGCTTTTATGTCTCGGTGCTTAAGAAATCTTACAAGGAAATAGTGGAGTCAAATCGTCCCAAGACTTTGCTGAATGTGATCAAGGATATAGGCTACTTACAATGAATTCATGAATTTTTCCATGTAAATTATGGTAAAATATATGTATACTTTGATAGTGTAGGCTTTCCAATTTAACATATATTTACATATTGTTCAACGTGTATTTGCTTTAAAGTAGAAAAATAAAACGTATGTTACAGTTTTTAATAGATTTTGGGTATTTAAGTTCACAGTAACAAAAATAATTAAATCTTATGCAAATGCTTTTGTACGCATAATATGACCCATTTCTTATCATGCAGGTAAATTGTCTGAATTCTGCTTGGACTGCCAGCAAATATAGGTGATGAATTATTATTCTAAATTGTACTTATTCAGTGTAATCTAAAACTATGAAGCTACATTTATTACATTTTATCAGGTAAGGCCTACTGAGCTCTATACAGCTCTTTTTCAGAAGCGACCTGGCCAAAAACAATAACCTGATGAAGTGGCTTATGTCGACATGTATAGCAGCCAAATACTCTAAACGCGTGTTTCTAAATTTGGAGGGGAGAAACCAGAGGACCAAAAGAAAAATCCACAAGACCACGGGGAGAAACATGCAAACTCCAAATATACAGGCGTCATGGTTGGGATTTAACCCACGACCTCCTGTATACCAGGCGAGGTAGTTAACATCTCACCATCACGGCACACCTCTCAATGATACCTGTACAAATGCTTTTTTTTGGAACTGAATTGCATCAGGTCAGCGGTCTGCTCTCGGAGAGGTTAAACGACCAACGTTGATCCACGTGGAGTTTTTATCTGACGATGAGATGTTCTTTGTACTGATCCGAATAAGGGCTTGCTTTGAAATGCTTGAGCAGACAGGTGAGAGATGTTTTCGGATGCTCACACGAAAGGATTTTTATTTATTTAAATGCGATGAACCCATCATCCCAGCAGCTTTCTCTGGATGTGCGCGTGTTCAACATTCTAAATTGAACCGTGTTTATGTATTACGCGAAATAATAAAATAATGCTGCATGTTCATAATCCCACCAGATAAGTCGCAAGCCCGTCATTAGAGCTGGCAAATGACTTTTAATCTGCATCGCCCATCGCGCTCTGCTTTCGTCGTCTTTCGGCACCCACTGTGTCCGTTCAAAATCTTGCCTCGTGGTGATTTATTTCCACCCCACCCCCCCGCCCGCCCGCCCGCCCCCGTAAATCCACATCTTTGATCTCCAGAAGTAGCACTTTTCTTTTCTTCTGCACCGTCCCTTCCCTCAAAAGCTGTTTTGATATAAGCTCTTCCTTTTACAACTCTTCCATTTGTCTCCCCCAAACGATTACAACGGCCCCGTTAGTGTAATGGGCCGAAACCTGAGACCACTACCGCTGCACCAAGCCCCGCCCCGCTCGCCAGCCAGCCAAGTGTAGCGGTGTTGGGTTACCGGCGGGCTAATCCCCCCTCCCGCACCGTGATTGTCAGAGCTGTGCAGCACCGGTGATGGGAGTGCTCACACCCCTTAACGGTATAACGCTGGGGCTCCCTCCTCCCCCCTCTTCCCCCGTCCCCCCCACACACACTCCTTCCCTCCCCGCCTCTCGTCCCCACCTCTCCAGCACCGCTGCCTGTTGACAGACGGGTCTAGCAGAGACAGATAAGAGGCTTGACCCGATGAACCCTGGCCCAGCCTCTCGGCTGTGCGGGGAGGCTAAATCAAACATGTAAGGCTTCGCGCGGGGGGTTATGCCTTGAGAACTGTATTAACAGCAACGGGGGTAACTTATTGCACGCGCCGCGGACCCGAGCACCTTTGTCGTTGAATGCGTTCGGCCACTTTTGTTTTCTTTTTTTACCATTCGTCATTTGCTCTCGGCGTTATTTTGAGCGGCGAATTTGCCATTTTGACGCTCGCATCGCTTTGCAAGGTGTCACCCCCCCTCCCCCTCCTCTCACCGCTTCGCAGTGGTAACCAATAACACGCAGCTATTCTTTCAAAATGCGAAAGGATGGTTTAGGTTTTTTTAAACAACTTCGCAGCTTTGATTTAAAACCAGAAAACGCGAGGCCTGTAATGATAGCTCAGGGAAGAAGAAGAAATTTGGAATCTCGACGGCGAAGCGTCCCCAAGTGTTGCACGGAAGAGTCACTTTGACCATTGTGTCTTGTGCTCGCGTCAAACACGGCCACGGCTTAGCCGAGGGACAGCCTGCAACGTGTAGCAGCAGCAGCAGTGGGGCCAGATTAAATGAGAGGCATTAGCGTGCCAATTTAGTTTTGTTCTCATTCATAATGGGTCTCAGCTGGGGCTCGGATCAATGGTAAAAGGAACGCGTTGGCACCTGACGCTTCATCTACATCACCGTGGCATTTCTCAGCAGTGTTAGACTGCGTCGCGTTAATTTAATACTTGACAACATAAAAATAAACATCGTACCAAACGACTTCAGAGTTGCGGTTGGGGGCGCGTTGTTATTGTTGCACTGCGGCGATGTCACTCGTGGCACAGGTCAAACGTCCCCATTGCAGGACCCTCGTGGGAAGAAAATAAAAGTATGAAGGCTTAGCGAGGCTTTCATAGACAAATAAAGGGCAATGTTGTTTTTGTTGTTGTTCATAATCGAGGTTTTATGGGTTAGATCGCGTAAATATAAAGGTGTCATTAAACCCGCCACCACCCGACACAGCCAATTAGTAAGGTTTGTCACGTAAACAGAACGTGCCAATTCGTTACTAGTACAGCACACCGGTGTGTTGGAGAGCAAATGCACAACATTTACAATATTTACATCTATGCATTCGAACCCCCAAAAAACTATATTACGGATGATATTGGTTGCGAAAGCCTACGTGTTAAATTGTTGTTGTTACGCTTTCGTAACGTGCACTTCCACAAAAGTGTCCGTGCGTCCGCACACCGCGATCGCGCTCACGCTCGGGACGATTTCGTGTTTCTGCTCATCTCCAAGCTCAATTTTAAGAAGAAGAAAAGGAAAAAAAGACAAACCCCTCCTCTAAACTGATTCACGGTTGACAAGCTTAATGACAGTGACAGGGGGGGGGGCTGCGCATAAAACGCGACTTCAAATAAAGTGAAGGCCGGAGCCCCCCCCCCCCCCCCGCTTGACGGTGCCACGCCCGCGTGTCCGTGCCGGAGGCTCCGCGCATCTCAGCCGCGACACCAAAGACAGCAGCCCCCCACCCCACTCGTACGCCCCCCCCCCCCGTGCTCGGATTGAGACGACCTCAGTCGCCGCTCGGTAATTCAGGACCGGTGATTTTGATCTCGAGTCTTT